TTTCTATCTTTATATATGATCTTGTACCTCTTAATTTTTGTAATACACAATGAACATGAACTTTATTTTCTTTGATGTTTTTAAAATAGATTAAAATGTCGTCCAAATAACAGACAACAAAATCATCAAGATACTTATGAAAGACATCATTCATTAGATGTTGAAAAGTACCTAGTACATTCATGAGTCCAAAAGGCATGACATTATATTCAAAATGTCCATACATAGTTTGAAAAGTAGTCTTCCATTCATCTCCTTCTTTGATGCAGATTAAGTTATATGTTCTTCATAGATCTATTTTTGTATAAATTTTTATTTGACTTAATTGATCAAGAAGTCTTGAAATCAAAAGTGGATGATATCTATTCTTGATGGTAATCTTGTTGAATTATCGATAATCTACACACATCTACAAAGATCCATCTTTTTTCTTCACAAATAAGATAGGAGCATCAACTCAAGATTTAAAATGACATATAAAGTTTTTAGCCAAGTTCTCATCAATGTACTCTATGAATGTAGCTAACTCATTTTAAGATAGGCTATAGATTGGTCCAAATAGTGGTTGAGTTCTTTCTTGAAGATTGATGGTAAAATCATAAGAACAATGCTTCGAAAGAATATCTACATTCTTTTTTTCAAATACATCCTGGAAATTTTGATGCAAGCTAGGAATACTACTTGATATCTTCTTGCCATCAGCAATGAGTATAGCATATATAGCAAAAGATGGCCCTTCATTTGTCACATGCATGAAAACTCTCGCACCTACCATTAAGAGTTTGGATATACTAGACTTATGAATTTTTACTTGCCTAGCTGGACCTTAGGCTAAACTATAGAAGAAATCAAGATTGTAAGAAATCTAGTCTATCTGAGGGTTGTATCTTTTTAATCACAATAATTCTAAAATAATTGGATTAAAATGAGATTTAATCATATTAAATATAATTAAATTATTGTGACCACTAGATATTACTTCTACAGAAATAGTTTCATGTATAATATTTTCAGAAGAAAATGAATATCTATCTATTACTTCTACATGCACTACTTTGATTTTCTTAACTAAAGATATATCTTTGACAAAGTCTTCATCTATAAAAACAAGTTGAATCTCTTGAATCCATCAAGGCTAAGACTTTGTGATTTTTTGGTCCTAAACAAACTTCTATTATAAAACAAGGTGAAAGATTGGATGAGAGAATAAGACTTTTATTTGAAGTTGCACATGATTCTAGCCACACAGTCTTTATTGTAGCTGGAACAACTCATTTTCTAACACATTGTCTTTTTTAGCAATTGTACTTCTCATTTTGTAATTGTATCATTTCTTTGGATAATATTGAGCAGTATATTTAGCTTCTCCAAAATATAAGCATAATCCCTCTTGACATTGTCGACTCTTTTCCTGCTTTGTAAAGAATTTAAAATATATCGTATCAATTTGCATTGGTTTTAGCCTTAATAAATAAGTTTTTAAAAACTTAGGAGCTGCCGTCATTATTTGATTTGTTCCTCTCCAATCATATCTTTGTTCTTAACGTCTTTCAAATAATTGATTGTCACATGGAATAATTTGAGCAATAAATTGTTTCAAAGATTCTATCTTTGGTATTACCAAAGATAAGTCTTTGACATTATCCTTCAACCTATATTGAAATTGATTGATAAGGGTTGTATCATTCTAGTCCATTTCGCAAGCAAGGTTTTAGAATTCAGGAGTATATATGGTAGTTGGTTATAATCCTTGCCGTAAAGATAAGAGCTTGGTCTCTATTATTCTTTTTCAATTATTTTTTCCAAATGTGGCTATAAACACTTCTAAGAATGAATTCAAATAATAAAGGAGTCACAAATCTTTTTTCATTTAAGGTACAAACCAAAAAAGAGTACTTCTTGATAGAAGTGTGCTTATGAATCCGACTTGAGTAAATCTATTGAGGTATTGGAAAGGATGCAACCTTAAATAGAACTTCACTTATTGCAAAAATCTTTGAAATTTTGATCTTATTCCATCAAAATTTTCAAGCATACTAATCCTTATCCATGTCATACTTATAGAAGTAAAACTCCTTAGATTTAGTTGTGAGATTGATCTACTTACTTCTTTTAACTGCACAATTTCTTGTTGCAAATTCTGAACTTCCATAGGCACATGCATAATACCTCCATGTTTCAAGTTGGAAATACATGAGATTTTCACTTTTAGAGTGTTGAAAAGCTTATGAAGATTTGCAATAGTTATAAATCTATTCTCACTTCCGCTTAGAATAGCATCCATAATTTTTCCTTCTATAGACAATTCAAACAAATTCAAAAAGTTAAATTAGAGGAGGGTAATCCGCAACCTCTAATAAAAAAAATTCCACAAAGAAGGATAATTTTCTCTCTTTAAGGAAAAGATCAATGTTAGAAAATAAGATTTTTTGTTTAAAGATGGATAGTCTGTAACCTTCAAAATACAATAATCCAAGTGAGATAATCCACTCACTTCTAAACCAAGATAGAAATAGTATATTAGCACTAATGTCAAACTGTCAAGGACATGAATCTCAAAGAAAGAAAATCCTCAATACATTCTTCTGTCACTAAAAAGAACTAGAAAGTCACTCAAAGATGATAAAATATTGAACTAGAATGGCTATTGCCAAAAATAAGAAGACTAGAAAGTCTTGAAACAAGACTAAAGACTAGAAAGACGTTAATAAGAGTGAAGATGGCTTCATTCTTGCCTCTATATATACTCTCTAACTAGGAGTTACGTGGCAATATTCTATAGGACCTCCAAAATGTATTGACTTTGTTAGCCACATATCTTATCTTATAAGACAAGTTGCTTATATATGCGCCACATAGTTAGCTTGTTCCACAAGCTACTACACGGAGTTAACTTGTTCTACAAGCTATCAACATGTGGTTAATTTGTTGGCCAAGTTTCTATCCTATAAACACATCTAAAGACAAAACCGTGTCTATAAAGCTTCTAGGAAGCTTCTTTAAAAGACTTTTTAAAATTAATCTATGTTTACCTACTTCTATCTAATTATATAAATAACTATTGGAATAAATATATATTTCTGTAACATAAGGCATCTAACATGTGTTTAACTTGCAAGACAAGCTTCTTATAGCTGTACTATATGTCCAAATTGTACTACAAGTAGCCAATATGTGCAATACATAGCCAACTTATTGGCCAAGTTTTCAAACTACCAATCATCTATAAATATGAATAAAAGCAAAGCCACATCTATAAAGCTTCTAAGAAGCTTATCCAAAAGATATTATCAAATTTATCAATTTTTATTTATTTCTACCTACTCATATCATTTAAATAATTATTAGAGTAAACATGCATGATTGTAATATTATCATCTCCTCCTTTTTATAAGAACAAGTTCCATAAGCGGCAATGATCACATGTTGAGAAAGTCCAAGATACAACAAATTATATTTGGCACATACTCTCATCTTGGTTTCTTTTGAAGGTGGTTTATACATCTTTTCAACCATCAATAGTGTCCCATAGCAGGGTGAAAAGACTATCTTGATATTTAATCATTATTGAGGCTTTCATAAACTCCTTCAAACAAAATAATTTGGAATATCATTAGGAATAGTTCATATCTTGAATAGTATCACCAAACATTGGAAGTCTCTTCTAATGTTATAATACTAAATGCATTATATCTCACCATCTATTTGAAGAATATATCATTTTTGAGAGTCTTCATCTCTATTAAATTATTTCAAAGGCTGTAACAATTGTAATATTCTTATTTATTTTAGAATTATAATTCTAATCGCTTAATTGAAAAAAAATTAAAAATTAAAAATTAATATATGATGATAAGGTCAAATTTTATTTTAAAATATTAAAGTTTTTTTGTAAGTATTAATATAATTATATATAAAATTATAAAAATTAAAAATTAAAATATATATATATATATATATATATATAATTTTATATTTGATTTATTACTTTGAAAATATGATAGCAATATTAAGTATTACTTTATAGTGTATTACATTTAATATCTCTCTATTATAGAAATGTCAAATAAAATTTACAATAATTTGTTTTAAAGATTAATGTCATTTATATGAAGATATTCAACATATAATAATAAAATATAGAAATTAAAAGAATTTAGAATATTTTATGGAAACACAAGTTTTAAATTGATAGCAAGTTAGATGAAATCAAATATTATTTTGGTTTGAATTTATAATTGGATTCAACGTAATAGCATAAATAAAAATTAACATTTATTTGGATTTTATGTATTTAAATTAAAACTTATTTACAAATAAATAAATAATAAACAACACACAATATTAATTTATTAGGATTCTTAATATAATTATATGTATTATTTTTATATAATGGATATGTATTTAATTATTTTACTTATCATAATTAGGTTGAAGGTTCAAATTTTATATATTGATGTTTTTTTAAAAAAATTAATTCAACTTTCAAAATCATTAATGATTGTGTATATCTTTAAACTTATATTTCATAAGATTGCATACTTTATCTCTATTTATTTTATCATTTTATATAGAATATTTAGAACATATGTCATATCCTTCTTGGTTTCACAATACCTAAAAATAGAAAATTGAGATGATTTACAATTCTTTTAAGCATGACAACATAAAATATTATTAGTAATGGAAATACACAAGAGCAACATAATAAGGCACTATCAATTCAACACTCTATAGTCACAATCATTATTGCTACTTCATTGTCTTTTACAAACAAAAATCCAAAAGTTTTGTGTTACCTCCACATTGCAGTCAACATTACCCACACTCATGAGGTTTTGAAACATCCAGAAACATGCAGAAATTTCTTTTTGGGTAAGCAGATTCCACTGTCTTGAATGCCAAAGTCTCATCCAATTATCAATGTTATGCGTCTTAAATCTGAGCTTTCTGGGATTGAGATTGACATTAGAACTAACATTAGAACAAGTTGCTGTTCACACTCGTCAAACGTAATATCACCTTTTAATAGAATTGGGTACCACCACAGGTGATCAAAGTGCCACCTTAATTCAGAAAAGATATACATTTATCAATGAGATTATTTGTTTCTGACAAGTTTTTGTATCTACTTACGCAACTACCAAATCATAGGAAGTCTTTCACGTGGTCTTGTAACAGTGTTTTCCAAGATGGATGTCTCAGCTTGCGCAGTGCTTTAGCCTCAATTTGCCGTATTCTTTCCCGAGTTACTTTAAAAATGATGCCTAGATCTTTCAATGTCATCGACTGAGCACCACTTAATCCAAAGCGCAACCTAAGAACCTCCCTCTCCATCGGGTTCAGAGAACGCAGAACGTCCTCAATGTCTTGCTTTAGCACTTGAGTCATGATATCATCCTCCGGTGATCCGACGCCTTTGTCAGCAACCATTTCCTGAATCACACAAGGAAAATGAGACATGCAGAAAAATCAGGAACATTGGTGATAAGTAGAATCACTTGTGTATCTTGAATAGAGCATAAAAGACCAGTGAGATTTTTCACACTTTAGCTTGAAACCTTACCCCTAACGACTGCTCTCCGTCTTTGCCAATGGGTCGATCCATCGAAGTTGGAGGCCTAGCGGACTTTACTATGAACAGCAATTTTTCCACACTCATACCAACCATTGCAGCAACTTCTTCGTCACGTGGCTGACGCCCCAGCTCCTGCGATATCGTCATCTTCGCTTTGTTTATGCGCGATATGACTTCGTAAATATGGACCTGAACAAGCAACAGAAAATCAGATGACATTCTTTACAGTCTAACGAGGAAAATTAACTCGTTCCTCAGACAAGGGTACTTAGTATGTGTATATGTATTGGCCAAAGATAGGCCATTTATGTTTCAAATCGTTCCAAAAGTTTAAAATGTTCAAATCGTGGTTACAGGTTGAACTGATGCAAGAAATTTTCATCTGGTTGAATTTAATCTTCTGACTTGCAACTTTGGGAAGCCTGTTACTTCTTCTAGATGTGCTGTAAAGGTTAGTCCTCATCCAACTCCTCACTCAGTTATAAGCAACATTAGGACGAGCTAGAGCTTACTGGCAAACGAATGATCCTGGACTGATCAGCAATAGCTCGTGTCACAGCCTGCCTAATCCACCAAGTTGCATAAGTACTGAACTTATACCCCATTTCCGGGTCAAATTTTTCGGCTCCCCTTATCAAACCCAAGCTCCCTTCCTGTCTCAGACAATGGGACGAAGTGCGTCAGTTTCAGTACCTTAAAACGTAATACCAGTCTACCCTTTCAACATTCCAAGACGAGCAGAATAATACACGGACAGTCACTTGGAGGCAGATAGATACATTCCGAGGAGTACATTTCTACGGTTCGTGACCAACCTGAATTAAATCTGGGAGGGTCATGCCCCGGCCTTGATAATTTTTGACAATAGAGACAACCAATCGCAGATTCGAATTCACTAGCTTATCCTTTGCAGATCGGCCCTCCTTGACTCGCAATTCAAGTGAAGTCTGATCCAGCGATACGGCCTGACTCCATTCACTCAAGGTTGGCTCCCTTCCTATGTCTCGCTGAAGTTCAGCTCTGATCTTCTCCAGTTTCAGAATATCCTGAATACCAAACGAAGGGCAGCCTCATAACTCTGCATCGACATGAAATGTAGCATCCATCGAAAAGACTCCAAAAATCTCAATCTCAAAATAAGGCAGCAAAATTTCAGTGAGAAACATGGAACCAGAGTCCTCACCTGAATCTTTCTAGATAAAGCAACTTCCTCAGATGCTGAAAGCAACTTAGTTCTTTTGATATCTCGTAAGTATGAACGAATCGGATCAGAAGGAGTTCGCATGATCTGTAATTTCTTCGGCTTTGGCACAGGAGGTGCGGATGCAAGCGCAGATGCAGTCTTCTCCGCCTTTTCCAATGCTCGTTCCCGCTTTCTCATCCTCTCCTTTTTACGCTTCGATTTCACCGCGACATTAAAATCCATTGTTTGAGGCAATCCGTCTGCAGTTTCTGAATTTCGAAATTCTGCAGATCGGGAATAATTTCGAAATGCCCTAATTAGGTGCCGCTGACCATAAAACAGTCATTCTACAGTAAGGCTCATCAATCACCTCTATTCACAAAATTTAAGACAAGATATAACCCAGGCTCGAAAACATTAACAAACATCTCCCATTGAGAGTTTCATGAAGGAAACGGGTCTCTCGCCGGGTGTTTCCACTAATAGAAGAGGCCCAAAGTTGCACTAAAAAATCATCAAACACCATGCCTTGCACAAAATTAAAATTAATACTGATAAACGCAAATATTGATATGGTTCAATTATATACCTGCATCTGCTCTTGGTGATGCTGCACCCTCAGCTTCCCTGTCAAGAGTAGATGCTCCTTCCATTAGCGACTCTAACTTCTGAACATAGCTTGGCTCTGCCTCCGGCATTACATCCTCTGCAGCATAGCCAACCCGAAATGAATGCTCCATATCATTCAACCTGGCCCTCTCTAGACTCAGCTTATCCAACTCCGACGGAGCCTCTTCGTTTTCCACAACCATCGCATCTGCATACGAGGCTGCATCCCTTGCAGCCCTCACAGCTGCCAATGCTAACGCCATGGCTTCATCAGCCGCTGCGCGAGAAACATCATTCTTGCTACCCAGCCAGCTCTTAGTCACTAAAACATTACACACTTTCAAATTTCGATTGCATACCGCCCTCTTCGTAGGGAAGACAGACAGTGACACGAGTGAGACAGACCTAAGCCACGCTGATGATAGCTTAACCCTGCAAAAACAGCATTCCAGCGAGAAAAAAACATAAAAAACACAAACCATCAAAGAAACGTCCCGCATTAACCATCCACCGACCCACCAAATCTTAAACCCAAACCAAAACCCTACCGAAAGAAACTCTTCCAACCCTCACGAACCAACATTTCACCTTTATGTTACAACGAATTCAGTTCAAGAAACACCAAACCCAACACCCAGTAACAGAAATCGCACCGCCCAGACGCAATCCTCCGCTGGGTTGCCCTCGTCGACCCTCCTGCACCCTCCACCCAGCCATCCTTCCTCCCGCTACACGACGCAGGGTTACAGTCCTGCCCTCTCAGTGCCACCGTCACCACTCCTCTGCCGTCCGAGGGTAGCTGCACGCCCCAAGCCGACGACGCCGTCATCGTCACCAAATCCAAAACAACTCGTCCTTCTCCCCCTCCTACTCCTCCAAAACTACACTCACCACCATCAATCCAACCCCTAGCGGCCTGCGACCTGGATATCCTCCCACGGGAGCTCTCACTGCGGCAAGTGGAAACAAAACCATGGCTCGCGCAAGAGAGAAGCTCCTGGGTGAGTTGCAAAATGTGGGTTCGCAGTCGATAGAGAAGGAAAGGCAGGCAAATTGCGGTGGTGAAAGTGCAGCTTCAGCAGCATCATCTGCTAACAAGAGTTGTCATCGGCGGAATCCTACAAGAGTCGGCGGGCTCCGAATGCGCCCACGTCGAGTGTGTTATCGTTACAGTCTTCAAATGAAGAAGATTGTCACGCGCTGAGTGGACTTCGACGATGATTTGGTGCGAAAGGGATCGAATTGCGGCGATGGGCTGCAAGATGATGTGAGCGGCTCCACCGACGCTGCCCTCCAGGGTGCCCAAAACCCTCGGGCAGTCCATCGGCCTGATAACCGCGGGCAGGGATACTGCGAATCTGGGAAGCGTGGAGCACGAATATCTTCAAAGTGATGTCTCGGATGGGAACAAGTGTGACGCTGGGGACGTCTAGATGCGGGCAGAAAGGGGGAAAACTTTTCTTGGTTTCTTTATGAGATACTTTTTCCACTTTATCTTTTCAATCATTCTTTTTATTCCTATTCAGAGCAGTATTGCTCAGTTCCATTTAGTTTTTGTACTGACGTTCTTAACTTCTGAGATATTTTTTGAGATATTATGAGTGCTCGTATATAATTGTATTAAATTCAATCAAAGATTTAATTCTTTCCAATATTAATCTGATGCAGTTCTAAAGTTTGCATGTTTTATACCTCGACTCAAAAAAAGAAACAGAAACTCAATTAAGAGACCATTAGAAACTGAAGTTTTACTACCACAATTACAAAAGTTTTCTTCACACCTTTAGAGCTTTAATTGTATTACATTCAGTTTAATCTCTTTTAATTTGTTACTCTACATATTCAGATTCCGTACATGCATTTTTTAGAGGCTTGATTCTGACCAAATAAGTTGATACTAAACTCTATTTATCTACGTACAAGTGAAATGGACTTTTACACCTTCTTCAACTTCATGTAGAGTCAAATCACTACGAACAGGGTATTATAGGAACTTAGACATCTAAACCTTGATTGAGCAACACGAGGGTCAGAAAACCACCAAACAGTACATAACATGCACTGCACATTATTATTTTTGTTCAGTAGCAATAAACTTGCATATTTGGTGCAAACCTTCACAATAATCACAACTGCTCATGCATTTTTAGTTTTATACTTACACATACACATAAATATATATATATATATATATATATGTGTGTGTGTGTGTGTGTGTGTGTAAGTGTGTGTGTGCACGTGAACATGATTTTATCACTGCTGTTGATAAGAACATTGAGCAACTCATAACCATTTCAGCATACACATGAAGCAGTGAAGGGAAAGAAAAGAAAAGAGCCACGCCAATCCTCACCGTTCCAAACCAAGAGGCTATGAGAAGTGCTTTCCAAGTGTCATCGTTCACACGAATGGCTCATCTCCGACACACAAAGCTCCACGGAAACAAACCACAACAATCAACGACATGCTACAGAAGCTACATGAAATGAACGGAAACACGTTACAGTGCAAGCACCCAGCAGGCTCCAACCGCAGTTCTCACCCTCCCACAAGTTGATGAGCGAGACTCAAGATCTCGAGTCAATCCGCAATAGACGTCGACATAATGTTGCAAGGGTACATTCACGAAGTCCACAAGACTAGTAACCCTTTACTGCCACTAAAAAACCAGATCTGGTTTTCTTACATCGATTTCTAGACCTGGAACCAGAGGTGCCGTGATCTGATCGTAGGTCGATCTCAAGGTGGGTTTGGTACGATCAGCGTGGAGGTCAACGCCGTTCGTGTGAGGTCTCTTCTGAGAACGAGATCGGTCTCCTGCGGTACTGCCCATCAACGGCAACTTGATTTGTCTGCTGGGCAACTTTGCACCCGATTGGGTCCGTATTGCACCACGTCGACATGCCGCTAGATGAGTGCGGCGTGCGTGGCTCAAGACCGTTGAGCGGCTTCATTGGTTCGAACTTGTGCATTATGTAGGTTCGACAATCTATAGATAAGGTTATGAGCAGCAGAGGCTTTCCTGTAGTTATCCTTTTCTAGTTCAAATTAGAGACAACTTAAATGACAAAAAAGAACGAGGTGAGTATTTCATCTTCAATTAACTGGTGAATCACAATTCCATGCTCGGTGGAATGTCAACGCCATCTCTGTTTATTTATGGTGCCCTAATTGGTCCATATCACTTTCTCTGCAAATTTTTCTCCCTATTTTTTGCCCCCTGCTGATTTAGAGTGTTCAATCACACCAGTTTTTTAATATTGTGCCACTATGATTTTTGTAAAACACACCACTTGCTCGTGCAATGTCCTTGGAATACCTTGCTTTCCAAACTAGATTGTTTCGCAATAAGATCATATCATAAAAATAACACAATGTTTGATAACTTATAAGTGAGTGGATGAAGCTTTCATTCACTCAGTTGTCAGATAAAGAGTTTTATTCATTATTGTGGAATACAAATTCTACATGCGTTGCGTGCCTTTGCAGGACAAGGCTCTCTTATTCTGTCGACGAAGCATCAGAAATGGCATCTTTTTTGTGTCCATACATTCAGGTCGCAAGCAGCTGTTGGCATGATTATAAAAAATAAAAACAAAAACTACTCTCGATAATTAATTCGCTTCAGGACGATGCTCGGTGGGTGGGTAATCTGGTGAGAAGAAAATTGCTTTTCTTTACAACACTGTCAAGGCCCAGTGAGCTGCAAGGTGGTGCTTATTTCCTGCGGCTTGGACTTGGCGGCAAAGTTTAGCACCAGCAGTAGACAAGAATAAATTGCGTTGATTCCCAGAAGTGCCAGCGATGAAACACAGTCACTGCTACCTGATCGAGCAATGGTCCTCTCCTGTGGTGAAGCAGTCTATAACATTGTGTATACAGCTCAATCTATGTAACAATTGAAACTGAATGAAGGTACTTGTGTACTATATTAACAAGTTAGCCATTCACCGCTTTCATTAATTCAGTACATGCCATCCAAGTAGAGGACTTGAAGCGAGATTTTCGTAGTTTCATATGGCTCGTATCCTCCGACATTAGCGTTGGCCAAGTAATGACAATCTCCTCACCGGAGCAAATGGACATGATCCTGGCATGCATAATCCAATACCCTTAACAACACTTACTAGCCCGTTTTTACCATGTTTTATTTGATATGGTTTTAAATTGGATAAGTTAGGTATTCCGAAGTATTTATAAGTGAGATATTGATGAATTCTATACTTTATTAGAAATTTATAACCTCTCTGAGAATACTACAAACTGATCTTTTTCTTTTTCTTTTTCTTCTCCTTGTTAGTACTTTTTCATGGAATCATACGAACAAAAGTTATTTATTTTTATACTTTACACAACCAAGATTATATGTTATAAACGTTACTTTAAAATCTCTCCTGTCATTTAGGTGTCAAGTATCTCTCAAATGGATATGGCAACAATGAGACTCAGTAACAATGTGTTAACAACTCATCAACATTTTAGTATTTTCATAGATTTTATTGACCTAATAACGTATAAGATTCAAACCAATACATTTATAATAAAAGTAAAGGTTAAGTTACTTGACAAAGACTTAATGCGACAATGAAGGCCTACAAATGGTATTAATGCAAATCAGTTTCAGAATCATCACAACACAAATTCAAAGAAAAGTGTGACACACAATCATGTATTCCAACCACCTTGCAATACACATTATCAACCATGTCCCTTCACATTCAAACCCAGAGCTCCACTTGGAACCCTATCTTTCACCTTCTTCAGCAATTTCACTCCTCCCTATTCGTTTACAACACCCCAACCTCACACAAAGAAATTTGCGCAACATTTCTATAGTATGCACACAATTTCTTACTTTCTTAGCTTTAACTTCGAGGTTCTAACCGACATGAAAATTAAACGCGCCTTGAAGTCAACCAAGGCCAAGTTCTCTCACCGACAACTGAAGTTTTGAATTCCGTTCGTGGAACTACGTCCAAGACGAGGCTTTACTCAGCGAAAACCATGAGATTGCGAGCTACTGTTAAGAGAGAGTCTGAGACGCAATATGGGTTTTGCGCCCAGACAAAGCCTTTGTACAGAAACAATGTAAGGTGGATGCATGGACAAGTGGGTGTTGAAGGGGATTGAAAAGCTTGGAGAGTGACGGGCTCCCTGCTTTCACGTTGTGCGTAGTAGTACTAAGAGAATCTCACTCACATGAAAAGAGCGGGAGGAAAGATCTGGGCTCTCTTGGACGCATCAAGGATTGCTGTTACACAAAAATACAGAACCACAACCAAGATCCGAGTCAGTTACACGAGATGATGCCTGTTGGTGGGTACTGCTGCGCGTGTAATGAGCGGCGGCACGCGGCTCAACCCTAACGCATCCCGTTGGTTTCATGATCTCATCATTGGATGTACTCCACCCTGCACGCGTCAAATAACTGAAAAGCTGACGATCCCGCCGAGAGCATGTCCATTGGAAATCTGTTTGCTTGACAGTGGAAAAATGAATTCTCTCTCGACTCCATCTTGACATAGAGCAGTGCAGTTGTCGCCAAGAGATTCCAGTTGCAAGAGCTTAAACCCTAAACCCAGATAATTACCATGTTGTAATGTAGCACACAGACACAATTGCAGAAGATGTACAGAATCATGTCACAAGTTCGATTTCAAGTAAACAATAATGGAATGGTTGTTATGAATATCAGAACAGCCTCCAATTCATTTCGTACATACCACTACCCTGACATTCATCAACTTCTTTAACCTCTCCACTCACCATTTCGGCCACATAGTATACACAACACTGCTGATTGATTTTTATTGACCTCCACGTTCCCTCTCATTGGCGACCTCGCAACATGCGCTACATATTTCGCTAGAAATCAGGACAGGAGATGTGAGATATGAATTCAGCTGCAATAATGCAAAGGTCGAGGTTAAGTTCACAGGTCATTTCAATATTCTAGCGGTCCTGCAAGCCTTGTGATCCACTCTGCCAGCTCGTGATCAATAAGCCTCGGCGCGAGTGATCGCAATCGGACTCTGCACCAGCCGAGTGTTGTCACTCCAAGTCAGAAACCCGAACACCGTTTCACTCTCCCCGGGAACCAGCCCCGTCGGCGACGTGCTGATGTGCACAGTGAACGTCTTCTTCTGGTTCACCGCACTGAACTGCAAAATCGCCGGCCTCACAGAGATCGACACTCCGCTGGGTGAAACAACCGTGCTCCGGTATGTCGATCTCGCTGGACCGACATTCGTTACCGTCCTTGTCAATGTAGTCGCAAGCACCTTCGACGTAGACTGATCGAACACAACAGAATAAGTCGGGTAGTTCAAGTCCTGCGGCTTCGGAGGATTCGTCGGACAAGTGCTCAGGTCATGAGATATTAGCTGAATGATCTTGTCAGTGTAGTTGAGTCCACACAAGAAGTTGACGTAATCTTGTGGGGCGAGATCGTAGACTAGGCCCGGGTCGAGTGCGCGGTCTGGGCGGACGTGACCGGCACCGAAGCCGAACGGCGACGACATGTTTCCAGTCGCTTCGTCGAGCAATACCGAGTCGGTGGAATCAAAGATGGACGCTGTTGTCATGAGCGCGGATTTAATTGCTGCCGGCGACCAAGTTGGGTGGGCGTCTTTGACTAGCGCACCAAGCCCACTCACATGAGGACATGACATCGACGTCCCGCTGATGATATTGAACCGGACGCGGCGTGTGTCGAGCGGTAATCCCGTCGGTCCCATGTCGCCAGTCCACGCCGCCAGGATGTTAACCCCTGGGCCAAGCAGGTCCGGCTTCAAAATTTCGGGGGTTTCAGAATTGGGCCCACGCGATGAGAAGCTGGCGACGACGGGTGTGGCGCGCGTGTTGAATTGGGTGCCGCCGAAGGTGACGGTGGCGGTAGGATTTTTCGAATTTCTTATATGAGCTTTGATGAGATTGCCCTCGAGGGCGCCCACAGCGGTGGCAGGCAGGACATGACTGTCGGCGATGAGGCCCTCCCCGTCAGTAGCTGTGTTGGCCAGGATCATCCCCACACCGCCTGCGGCTTGGATAACTCCCCCCTTGGCAACTCGTGGGTTGTTGCCGCGGTCGCACAGGACGATCTTACCTTTCACGAGATTGGGGTCAAGGGATCCTGCAAGACAAAGAGACGCGGAGTACGTGTCCGAGCCGTTATTCTTGAATCCTGCATCTTGAGCATAGATAAGAGGGTATGGGGTTGTCCCGAGGCCTTTCCCAGAGTAGAGGGAGACCCCTTTGATGGTATCGCCGTTGTCGAGAACAACATTGGCAGGGAAGTCGCGGTCGAGGGTAGAAGCTCCTACGGTGGTGATCCAGGGGGCGACATTGGCCACCGTGATAGGATCTGGGCCTGAGTTTCCAGCTGAGCATGCAACGAATATGCCCTTCTTCATAGCACCAAATGCGCCAATGGCGATGCTGTCAAGGTAGTACGGGACTACGCCCCCACCAACCGAGAGGGAGATAACGTCCACGCCATCGGCGACAGCTTGATCGAAGGCAGCCAGGATGTCCGAATCAAAGCAGCCCTGAGTCCAGCAGACTTTATAGGCTGCGATACGAGCGCGAGGTGCCATTCCCCGGGCTGTTCCTTCAGCGTAGCCCAGTAAACTGGCCTTGTAAACGTAATGCCCTGCAGCTGTGGATGCTGTGTGAGTGCCGTGGCCGTCCGTGTCGCGGGGCGAGCGTGGCTCCATGGTCTCATTAATGGGGCCTGTCATCGCCTCGTAGCCCTTTGAGAAGGATCTAAACAACCAGCGAATAGAAGTGAATAATTAGTCCCATTTCTAAACATGTGAAGGATCGTGCTCAGATAGGAATTAAATTGATCCCATTGCACCAATAGATCACATCACAGCTTTCTGAAGAACTGCGAGAGGGTAAGTTAAAGCATTATGACTAATTTGCTGTCGTAATGCCTGGGTGAAGAACTACATCTACCACGCACTGCTCGAGAAAATATTGACCAGCAAGTGGTCGTGATTTGATATGGCAGTGGGTCGAGCTGTTGATTATGAAAGCCACTGGGTGTACAGACGACATAGACCATCACCAAATCAAAATCACAAACATTTTCCAATCAACATTATCATCAGCTCTGAAGATTTGATTTTAGAAACCTTACTAAAATATTGATAGAGATGATACGAATGAGCCCAGAGATGAAGTCAATTATACCTGGCTCCAATGAGCTTCCGATTGCACACTGTGCTATTAAACCCGGTGCCGATCTCGCAAGCCCCTTTCCACCTTCGAGGCACAGGCCCAACTGAATGATCCGCGAAGCTGAAAGCCTCAGGCCAAATCCCCGTGTCTAGCACTGCTACAATCACATCCTCCCCGAACTTGCTTGAAGGCCACAAGCCTATGGATCCGTTCAGTCCTAGAAATTCAGGAGTGTGAGTTGTGTGGAGCTGCTTCTTCGTATCTGGAAATACGCCGTTAACTCCAGGCATACTCTCCATGACTCGGGCCTGCTCTTCCGTAAGTGTCGCAGAGAATCCATGGAACACCGTCGAGTAGAGATGTAGCGGACCTTGCGAGGCATCCAGCTCGGACAATGTGTTAACTGACAGGCCTCCGAGAGCTTGCACCTTTGCAGTACGAAGAACAGAGGAGAACCATCCATGGCTGTTGACAAAGATATCAGGTTTTGCATCCCTGACCATGGAAACGATGTAGCTCTTCGGCCGAGCAGACATCACAGGACTGGTGATCTCAACGCCTTCGGCTAGAACAGCCCAAAATATGCTCAGCGCGATCAGAGCGGTCATCACGAAGCTACGGTAACTACCCATGGCAACAATAATGTACAAAACTCCACCGCCAAGTATTCAAGTGAGTTGAATACCACGCTGCTATAGCACTGCACAGTCCCCACCTCCACTTCACACAACTCTCATGGCCAGCCTCTGGTTTCACCGATGGGTCTTTACAGAGTGAGCTTAGGCTCTGGAGTTGGCCTTTGCAGGATAGAAACTAAACAAGATTTTCAAAACTGCCTTCACAGATTATTTTGCAATGAAGCACATGTACAAGCTGGTCGGTTGCAGCCCCAATGCAAGGCTAGCCCAAACCAGCTTCTATGCTTGCGTTTTCTTCCTGCTTCGGCTTTGGGTGTGGTATCTCATGAACACCATAGATACCTGCATTGCTTCCAGCTTCTCTCAGCTGCTCCAAGAAGTAGTAAGTAATAATCACCTTCTCACGTGGTCTCGTGCAGGCTCTTGAAGAGTAACCATTGTGTCCCACCCCAGCTACTCCTGTTGGAAAGTCCCACACTCAGTGTGTCTTTAAGGCGAGGAAATAAGAATTGTTATTACTAATAATAAATTGAAGATACGAGATCTCTCAAAGTATTTAGATAAACGGAAGGCGCTTTGTAAGTATAATCGAACTTCCGAATAGATCTAAATGATGAACAACCGCTTTGCTGAAGTATCATTAGAAGTTAAGCAGCTCAGTAACAGGAGTTACGCAATAAAAAGGTTGATGGCCTTGTCATTGAAATACGGGTTAGCGTCGTAAGAATGTAAGTAGAAACATCCGTTAAATTGTCCATCTCACAGTGTGACCCAGCGCACCGAAATTGTACAACTGCAAAGTCTGTTGGAGCTACTCCCCTAAGTTCAATAATATGTCAAGATTACGCCAAGCTTGCCCCATCTACAAACGAAAAACAAGAGAGAGCGGGTTTCAAGTCCACCGTACCTGCAACGGCCTCCTAATGAAATTGATCCTTGACTAATCAAAGACAACCAGAACATCAAGCACAGCTACTGCGCCACTTTCGTCGATCAAGCCCGGCTCTTACACTTCATTGTTTGCAAAATCTTCGCAATCTGCAGACACCTCAATCCTTAATAGTTCGATTAAAGAAAATAGAGAACCCCAGATGCGCAGCAGGACAGATATTCTGCCCAGCACTTATCCCACAGGACATGCACAATCAACCACTTCTCATTCTCCTGACTGTATGTCTCATTCTTTAACTCTGCGGAAGCGAAGACAGAGACCAAAACAAGCTTAACCTCCGCACTTCCAACCCCTGCCGCGGCGCTATCTACGGAACAGATCATGAGGAAGCACTCGGTGCAGCATTAAATGCCGCTGCAACCTCTCGAGCTCTGATCAAAGAGAGACTAATTGATGCCACACCCACACTTACATTTATGACACGGCTGGAACGGATACCTACCAAGACCAATGCCTGGAGGAGAAAGCCGCTCACGCATCTGACATTCTCCTCCTAATAAAATAACGAAAACTACTGTGACTAACAACTTAACCCGGTTTCCTGCACTTCTTCCTCGCAAAGTGAGAATGGGTTATTGCTGCCATCCAAGTCTGTCAGAGGCAGGTAATAATCTAGCGATAGAGAGAGAGAGAGAGAGAGAGAGAGAGAGGGGGGGGGAGTGAGGAAAAGACAGCATTAAAGGCTGGTGGGGCTGTACAATGCCTTTGCAGGTGTGACGAGGCATCTGTGGTGGTGGCAAGGGCTTTGATGAGAGGTCCATTCTCTTACATGCTCAGGCTTCGGCATCCCCATCACAGTGATGAACCCAGATTAAATTAACGAGGTGGTGCTGCTTCAGGTTGCAGCGACCTCATCAATGCGCCCTTCACTGCGCTGCGAAACGCCTTCTTTCAGGGTTTCAGTTCCGCAGCTGCTCTGGTGCACAAGAAAACCGCATGCCATCACCCTGTTTCTAAGCTTCAAGCTAAAGTTTTTGCAGCCTTAACCGAAGGGTAGTCTTTAACAATACAGGGGGAGAGCTAGGTCAGATCAGGCTTTGGAAATTTTGGATCCTGGGACCCATCTCACGAGTTGCTTGCCACAAGCTGCTAGAAACATGGCAATAACAATTCCTGAGTATTTCAACATCATTTTTTGAAGTCGATTTTCATGAACTGTAGGTAATAATTCTTTTTTAGAGTTAGCTCACAAAGCTCTGTTTTAGCGCTCGAGGAAAGAAACTTAACTTGGCTAGGTTAGTGAAGTCCACACCTTGCTTGTAATGCTCTGAGATAATAGTTGGTTTGAAAAGCTGGAGAATTGTTGCTCACAGTAATGTGCTCCAAGGAGAGGGTGAGGTTTGGTTCAAGTGTGTTTCGAGTGTGAGCTGTTCTCAGCAAACCCAAACAGCTTGCCTCTCAAGGATTAAATGATGTTATTCTTTCTTTTCTAAATAGAGTTTGTAGAGAACGTGAAGAGTGGCTGTTCTTATTATGTTTATATTTACTATTTGTTTATGTATCTGAAATGGTTTTACTCACCTAGGAGCAGAAGAGAACATTATAGCTGTGTATATTTCTCAGAATTTTTCTTTCTCCACTGAAGCATGAAAATTCGTCATGAATTTATTGTCACAAGAAATGCATGTATGTGTAGAAGTTTCAAGTTCAGTTATGCAAACATGGAAGTATTGTACCATCTGGTTGTCGGTTTATATTAATGATATGTGATTTGTTACATCAATATTATAGTTTTGTGTCACTGTGATGTTCTCCTTGAGTGATAATGAAAATCACATTAATTAAGTTACAGACATAAGATTTATAAACTTATTTTTAGTATGACAAAGTATATATATATATATATATATATATTCATGCCATACAATCTAATCATGCAACACATAGCTTTCTCCCGTTTTAAAATTACAATTATTGGTTTAACAAAATATAAAAATGTTGAATTTCATAACTTATTTGGTTGTGATAATTAATTGATATGACAGGAAGCCTTTTACACCAATCAAAGCAAAACGCCGGTAATAGAAAGTGATAAGGCGCCTAGCAAATTTCTAAGCAGAAACACACTTACGCATCACTTTACAGGATTTAAGTCCCATCTGTATAAAATATATAAATATATATATATATATATATATATATTTCCGGTTTTTCCCCTGTCAACCCCTGCTGGCCCTGTGATCAAAATCACAACACTCCACGTCCAAAGTCTCCATGATCGTGACATCAACAACAATGCTGATTTCCTCATTCAAACTTTACCTTGTTCTATAGTAGCTGTTGTTTAGCATGGCAGAGAGTCTCAGTGTTTGTAGCCACCATTTTAATGGCAGGGACCTACCTCATGACTCCACAATGACAGAGCGAGAGAAAGAGTAGAGAGGTAGATGTCAAACCCTGTTCGTACTTCCGAGTTGACAAAATACCCATTGCTGCAAGTTTTAATGATGTACGAAGTGGTGGATTCAACTTATCCGAACTCCCGGCTTGATCTGGGAGCACTGCCATTTTGGGATCTAGTTGCTTACACGCTTCAGAAAGCAAGGTAATTGGGAGTGAAAGGAGGCCAGTTTTTGACGTAGAGACCATGCCGCCTGTCAGAGAAGAGGAGAGACCAGTTTGTTCATCTATTGCGAGCAAAAAGCTGTAAAAATTAACCACCTTTTAAAGGTTTCATCGTAGCGGTACAACAACAGCGGCGAGTTACTGTCGATATACCATAGGGCTTCTCACATGAAGCAAATGGATGGCGTCACGAGGGTTTCTACCCACGTCGTTCTCCACGCTCGTTTGTTCCTTTAGAGTTACCGCTTTCTTGGTAAAAAGCCTGGTCGGTTGTCCTGAGAATTGTTGCAACTGGGTGAAATGAAGAAGGAACCATTGACGGTGACGCCGAAGGTAAGATCGACATAGCTCCTGTGTGTTTTGATTTTTGCAATTTTGTTGTGTCCGACAAAGTTGTGAAACTTTCGAGGGTGAATTAGCCCCAATTATTTTTGGAAGGGTAGTCAGTCCGTGTATCCGATCTGAGAATGGTTCACTGGTCATTGATCATGTCAGCGTTAGCAGAATATGCTTATAATACTCTTTCGACTTTTCAATACAGCGAGGAGTTGCTCAGTGTTGACCATGAAGGAACCGTGAATGAGTCCTTGAACAGGCTCTGGAAAATATCTCCTGCTGAGGCACAACTGAGTTTTGCTTTTTCCCACTCATCAAACTGGAATCATGAAATGCCGCTGATACCAATACAGCAGAAAAAGAAATAAATAAGAATATAAAGTGAATAGAAAGTGAGTAGAAAGCCTAGTACTAGATGATCTTGCCATTGAATTGTTTATTGAAACCTGACCTCTACTAGGCTTCGAATACACCACAATGATGTTGACATCTTTCCATGAAGGAACGAATGAGTGAACCAGCTGCCTATTTAACTGACTGGCGCGCTATCACGTTGTAGAGTGCAGAATATAGAATCTATCGCAAAAACCTCTCATGCGCAAGGTTTACCTCTTCCTGCCAAAGCCATAAGAAATTTTCATAAACCATCTAGCCCCATTCCATTTTGTCGCACGCGTTAATACCACCAGGAGTACACCCTCAAAGCCCTTGACACAAAGATGATGTATAATGCTATGAACCTATCTTTCTTCCGTTTCGAATCATAACTCCCTTGAGGATGGTTGAAGTTCAGCTTTCAGGAGTGGGAGCACCTGTTAGCGTCGATGGCGACCAGACTTTCAGTGTGCAGATATATCAGTAGCGCTCAAACGGGCGACGAGCCAAATCCTCTCAGACACCGGCTAACTCATTGATTAGGCTGAGAGCCAGGTCGGCATTCACTGAACGAATTGCTCCGACTCGAGGACTGTGCGGACCTTGGTATTGTAAATCTAGAGGAGGTCCTGCAACCAAACCAGTCAACGCAAGTATTGCCTCCGACAACCACGACAGGCTCTTCCTTGACAACACCACGAAAACCCAGCAACTGCACGAGGCCGAACAAGAGAACATTCCATCTTCTGGGTTCTGAACTTCAATGCAGAGTAACGGAGCTGGGATGTCCACTGCTTTCCTGCAAACCAACACAACCCAGACACTGCGAAACACTTCTCTCGTGTGCCCGAAAACAAACTCCACCACGGCTCATGTGGGTGTGAAACTCCATGGCCTTCGTCGGCGTTACTTTTCAGCGTCTCGTTCTAGACATAGCTACCTAGCTAGAAGATGAAGTCGAAGGCAAAGACGACGACGACGACGATGGCTTCTTCGCCTTCGGTCGTGGACGAGGCGTTGAGGGAAGTGCGGGAGGTGCTTGATATGAGGTGGGTGACCAAACCCTCTCACCAACCCATTCTTTTGCGGAGCATTTGCCATTCCTTGTCTAACTATTTCCTATACAAGGCAATGGATTTTCTTGTGTATGCGTTTGTGTGTGCACTATTATTCAAGAAATAATTTTAAAACACACGCACACACACAAGATAGGTCAGGCTATATCTTGAAAGAAAAATAAAAATTTCTCGGACTTTTACAATGGTTTTTTATACTTTTTTTCTATCTGTAATTTCTGTGATTCTGAAACCTGAAATATTGTAAATTTATTCATCTAAACATTGGAGTATGAATTCTTGTGGCAAGAACAAAAGGTACATGTTATGAGTAAATATTCTCTCTCTCTCTCTCTCTCTCTCTCTCTCTCTATATATATATATATATAATATTTTATTTTCTATTAAATTCAATTATATTATTTTCTGAGTTGTGAATTAATTATTGGCTTTCATTTCATCTGTAATTTTTACTTTGATTGAAAGTTTGAAACTTAATATGATATGTAATAGGATTATTTAACCTATAATCACTTTCTAATTCTAATTTCTGATGTTTTCTTTTTTTTTTTCAAAAAATGTAAGCAGCTTTTGTTTAGAAATTTTAGGCTTTTATATTAAAAAGAAATGTAGATTGTGCTGAATTGGAGGTACTTCATTTGTATAATTTCATGAGAATTTGTTGTGGAATTTGTGAGAAGGAATGTTGCAAAATTTTAATTTTTGGCTATATTTAAAGGCAAAGTTTAAATCCACTTTTGTAAAACCCAATTTAACAGTATTGGTTTAGCAAAATTCTGAATGTTAGAAAAAATATCCAATAATTGATTCTATATAATTTGATTCAAACCCACTACACTATATTTACATTTAAAAATTAAATAAAAATAATAATAATAGACATTTGTTAATTCTAAATAATTGTTGCATCAAAGTGCTTGATGCAAATTATTTCTTTCTATGAGTAAAAATGAATTCCGCTGTCTATTTAATAAACTCTTTAAATCTCTAGTTGTTTCATGATGCTCCCAATGTAATGGCAAAAGTAACACCTAATGTGTTTTTTAATTTGATTTTTTAAAAAATTTCAATCTTAGTATTCTTGACTCCCCCTTTTGGGCGTAAGGAGTTAAGTACTCTGATGTACTTTTTACGACTTCATTAATGCACTGCATGTACTCCGTTTTTGTAGTGTGTATATATATATATATATATATATATATCATCTTCTTTAGTACCAAGGGATCTTTGCTTCCTCATCACAGTTAACTTGAGAAATCCAAAAGTTAATCTGGAACCAAGTTAACCTGGGCCAAATGCTTCTGGTCAAGTTGAAGCTCAAAAACACTCTCTAATATAATGTTGGAAACAGAATATAACACTGGTTATTTAAAAGAATGATACTAACAACAGCAGTAAGTGCAAAAAAATTGGACTCCACCTCATCCATAGTTGTGTTTTTTATCATACAAATACTAAATAATCTCAAATAACACTAAGATTCCATTGAATGATAATGTCTTGACCTAAAAATCACCCTTCAAAACAAAGATAATAATTTTATAAGCAAATACTAATAACAAAGAAATAATCAAACAATGTGACACGATTCCATTGTTCATTCAACCCAACTCATGCGTGAGGCTTAAATGCAATCATTCTCTTGTGGATGAGTGTTACTCTAACCATGAAATAAGGCCCCCATGAGCAAATTGTCAACATTCCATAATTTATGGAGGATTTGTTTAAATTTTTGCATCTTTCAAGGAAACAGAGACATACTCACTTCAATTTCTGATATTTTTCTAATTTCAGAGAGATTAACTATGTCTATAGTTATACATTTTGGTTGAAGTTGCAGGAGTTGCAACCCTCAACCTGCAGATTTCCATATGACACTGACCCAACTCTACATATATATGTACGTTAATGTAAAATCCTACAGAGAAACAACTTTCGATGATGGACTGAAACTAAGAGGTTTGTGCACACAGCTTGGACATCAGTAGCATTCATGCTTCAAATTCTACCTTACAGTGCACCCCAGATATGATCTCTCTCTCTCTCTCTCTCTCTCTCTCTCTTGTAGTTCATGTCAACATTAATAGATATCATACTCGACTTAAGGGAAAGAATCTGCTACCCTACAATACAGTTTTACAGTTTTAGCCCCAAAGATTCACACGAGGCACATTCAGGCCAAGGCTTTCATGTTTCCAACATTGTATAGTAGTTGCACAAACAAGGAGATGCCACACATTACACGGAGAGGGTTTGTCTTAGTACTTCGTCCCTACTAGTTAGGTTTTCGTACCTGGAGTATCTTCGATGAAGCATGACAATATTGAGCAGAACAGGTGACACGTTGATACTTAAACCACCAATATCAAGCTTGGGCTTTTTCAAATACTCCATTGTAACTGCTCGCAAATCTCTGCAGAAGCAATGCAGCACCGTTAATCGTTCATTTGCACATGTCGTAACTTGGGAAAGATTCAATCACATTTGGGACGATTCAAACGCGGGGTCCTCAGGCCAGTTTTTGTCAGTCCAGTTGGCAATCTTGAAATTAATCATGCATGTTTATAAAATACTAAGCATTTCAGTAAGTTTTTGAAAAATTTGCCACTACGTACGTGTTTCATCTCTTTCTGTATGTAGACAGCGTCGTCATCACTTTCGTCGTCATAAGGCAAGCAACCCCTATTTAATTATTAGCTTTGTTCATGAAAGCAGAAGTACGATTGTTGCTATTCAGGACTATCTACAACTAAATTTGCTTCCAAGCGAAGCCCTCTTAATTCTAAGAATTAAATAAATAAACAAAATTTTGCATTCGTGGTATTTAATAGACAACCAATACCACCACAGCACTATGCCCATTGTGAAGAATGCTCTACATAGGAATTTGATACTCAGCCAACTCACTGCGCAACTAACCGCAAAATCAAATCATTTACATCCTTCAGATCGGTCACAAAACTTGAATGCCGCCGTGACAACCCAATGAATACTGTCATGGCATCAGCACATAGCAAATGACGAGCAGAAAGTAGCAGCCACTTCGCAGAATATTTTGTCCATTGCTGCGTCATTGCATAACATGGTGGAAATGCTCAATTGGAAGCTGAAAAACCATCCATTGCAACAGAAGCTGGAGCAACTCGGGCACCAGAGAGTCGTCATAGAAATCCCACATGAGAACGTCGGTTCGACATCAGCTGACGATCCACCAGGTCGGGGGAGAGTGTTCACCGTGAAAGTTGTATGTCTATGTGGTCTACTGGAAATTTTGGTGTAGTGAAAAATCATGTCGACAGATTTGAACTAGTATACACAGCGGAATGTCCTCGATTCAACCAGCAGTATCTCTGCTGGTTGAATCAGGAAGCTGTCCTGCTGAACCTTCAGTTGCAGCAGCTTCCGCTTCTTCAGGAATAATGTTGATCCACATAACAGGAAGTAGAGCAAATCCTGCCTCGATAAGAATCCCAAGAGGAAGCTCCTCAAAAGAGTTCGCCGATATATGAAGCAAAGAAGCAAGGCCAACTCCAAGATAAGCACTCGTCAACCCTGCAAGACATTGCGCTGACATAAAAAAGGCAAGCAGCGATCCTTCACTCCCAGCCGGGCATAACTGGCTCAACAAGACCATAAATGGCAAGATCTTGAATTGGGCAATAGCTTCAATAAAAGCAGAAGCTCCAAGGACAAAATATTCATCCGGGACACCCATCTGCAAGTTCACTCTGTTGACAAGGACAATATCCGAAACCATGCACAGAGACAAGAGCACTTGGATGCCAACGAAGAGCTTCCGGATAGGTACTTTCTTCAGGCTTCGGTTGTACAAGATACTTCCTCCCAGGAGACCCGCTTGGCCAACAACTTTGACAAGGCCGATGACAGACGAGTCAAGTCCTAGATGCTGGGTTTGGTAGAAGAACATAGAACTGCCTAAGTTTGGGATGACAGCGTACGAGGAGAGGAACCACAGAAGTGGACCAAGAACTGCTGGTTTTTTCAGCACGTCCGAGAGAAGTGAGAGTTGGCCCTGCATGCTCAAAGTTTGTGGCTTGTTTCCATCAGTCTGTGAGAGATTTAAACACTCCACATGTGCAACATCTGAGGTTTGTTCTCGGTTGTAGATGTCGTCGACTGTGTAACCAAACTTGGAGTAGATTCTCTTCGTCTTTGGAGGCAGCAGGACGGCTCTGGCTTTGAAGGGAAGGCTGGGTAACAGAGCTCCAGTGTTTGAAACTTGCGGATGGCCGAAACCGAATGAGTTCTCACTAGTTGTGGTGCATAGGAGAAGCTGAGCACCCACGAGCATCATGAAAATTGAAAACATGGTTGTTGCATCTATCCGCTGCAATGCGAAGCCTCCCATCAGATTCCCGAGAAGACCTCCAGCCGCCAAAGCCAGCCAAGCCAGTGATTGCAATTCACCTGAACATCAACACGATACAACAAACACTTCAGTGTTCTAATTTAAACCATCTTCTGTTCCAACAAGTCGGATAAAGTTCAAAACCATAGAAGATATGTGGTTCGTCTAACGCAGACTTTTGAAGTACTCACTATTTTGGTCCACCTTACAACTTTCAACGGAATAACACACAGATATGCTAAGTGCTTACCTTGGCCAGCGCCTTGCTTACTCTTAACAGCTTCTGCCACGAGAGCATCATTCGTAACTTCTGATATTGCAGCTCCCATGTTACTCATAGTCAAGACGCCAGTTAAGACGGCTACTGAGGAGGATACACCAGGATGCATCACTATAGCTCCCCAAGCGACCACTTGCAAAGCAGCTGTTGGATCAGGATGGAGTGCAGTCAGCTATAAAGTTGGTTCACAAAGTTTCACAAAAAGCGGATAGGTGCAATCATCCCAATTGTGCCTTGAAGGGGGTTACCATAGCAGCAGATACAAGAGAAACAAGAGAGCCATGATGCTCATGAAAACCTCTCTTACAGCAGTGTAAAGAAACCAAAAAACTGCTTGTAGCTACGAACCTGCAATACTGAGATAAGGAATTCGATGAGCTCCTTGAATGTAGATGGAATCAGATATGATACCATACAGAGGCTTCGCCAACATCGGCAACATCGTCGTGGACATCAAGAACTGCATCGTGCCGGGATCCACCTGATGTCACAAAGCTTCAGGTTTAAGGAAAACAGGGACGATTAAATAGAATAGAATTGCACACCAAAACCCCAAACCACTAATAATTCCGCGTAGCTCCAAAGCCGATAAAGTTGAGACATTACCTGCAGATTGTCTTTGAAGAAGTAACACATGGCCAGCCACGGAAAGCATCGGAATCCTTGCGTACAGTATCCGAGCACAACAACAAACATGAAAGAAGCACCATAGGTATCTTTAAGGCGTTGCAGCCACCGGAAAAAGTCCAGATTTCCAATTCCATCCATGGCTTGATTCGTAAAGACCTGCATTAGTCTCTCGGGTTTTCTAGTCAGGCTTCTCCTTGATGAGGACGAGTCGATCTCCCACTGAGCACCATCCGCTAGCTCTCTTTTTCGTAAATCTACAGCAGCCGCTAATGTACGAGCACAATTACTCGTGCTTTCGGTTTCATTGTATGATGTGCATAGTTCATGCGTGCCTCGAGCAGAATTTCGGGTGGCATCGAATGTGTAAATGTCCTGGAGCTCAAATGGTTTCGAGGACATCTTGGACCAACCTCGACCTCGTCCTGTCAATATAGGACGTAGGAAATCTTCAAAACGAGACGGGGTATTGTGCAGCGACAACCACAGAAGATCTACTTGAATCTGCGGGACGAGCTTTGTGAGAAATCAACATGAGCGGAATACTTCTGAAAGCTAGATGAAATAAAAATTCGACTTAGATGAGCGGCATTCAATAAACCTGCATAAGGATCCGCGATGACCAGCTTCCATCAGAAACAAGATTGCGTGGAAGATTAAAGCTCCGATTGATCGAAGACGTGTCCTCATTCTCGCATGAAAACTCGAAGGCGCGCGCCTTCTGCCTGTCGTGGTGATTTCTGTGAGCATCCAAGACATCAGCATCATGCGTAGACGGGAAGCCTTTAGAAGGCGGTTGTTGCCCCCTCTTGTAAGAAATCCTTCTGGAGGAGCCGTCATCGCATACAATGCGTTTTATAGCCCGTCTCCGAAGAGAGACATTTCTCCCTCTTAATAAACCCATCGCCATCGCCGTTCTAACGTGATCCGACTGCGAACTGCCAAGAACAATCCCACTCCTCCCATCGCTTAAAGTGCTCCTATCCCTGACAAAACTAGTGCAGCTCTCAAGAACGCAGCGACCACTCCCGCAATGCATTGCTAGCTTCCCACATGCCCTGCTCCACCTCTCGATTTATACACTCCAATCCTTCTGAACAAAACTCTCCGACCACGGGTCACAAATCGACAAGCTACAGCGATATTTCCAAGTAAAATGGCTATGAATCACCTGCTTCAGACACACGCAACATTTACCCCACCATGGACCAATGCTTGACAAACTATCGAGCTTCACCAACCAATCACGCCGGAGGCATCAGAGCATGCAATTTTCCTACCAGAACGACGGGCATCAAAACATTGCACAAGTGCAGGACAAGAGCTCTGAGCTACGCAAGACGATGCTACGCACTAATCCAAGTTTCGATCATGCAAAGAATTGCAACATCGCAAAGGTGAGGTTCAATTGAAGCTGTGGAACATGCGATAGTTAAGAAGATGGAGAGCGACAGTTTCGGTGGTGGCGTGCAGAGGGAGGTGGATACTTATGTCCAAGTTGCGAGGAAGAGTGAAGTTCTTTCAACACGGAATGGCGCATTCATAGGCGAGCAAATTACGCCAACGGAATTAGCCAAACGAGCACGATTTCACAAAGTCCCTGCGAAAGGAAACCTTGAAAAAAGCGGCCGGTAAGGGACGCGTTCGCAGAGCCCGAGAAGCACGCTTGGTTAATCTGCACTATTTCAGAAAGCCTACGAATCCATAGAAGCAGATAAAAAATGAAATGAAAAAAAAAAAAAAAAAAAAACGCTTGCGGTCCAGATCTGAGCTAGTGAAGAAACAACCAATCCACAACAACAAGCACAGCCTGAAACCAATTCTGATATTTCCTCGGAAACTTTTACCATTTTTATGAAAAAGCGTGGCGTGATAAAAGGACTCTGTCACTCAAAAAGTCCAAAGCGCATGGCTCAATAGAATCCCTGCCTACCGATGGGAAAAAAGAAATGAAAAGAAACCTTTGGTGGCCCCGTTTTATGAAACCCACCCCATGTGGGGAAAATCCCACACAACCTCTTTTGATGCATAGATGAATGGATGAATGAATGTATTATCGAAGGATGAACGCCATTTGAGATGGAAAAATCCAGCAGCTCAGCAACTTGGAAAGCGGGGCTTTAGGGTTCGAAGAAAGGCACCACCAGATATCGTCAAGGGATGTGTAAAAGCGGAAAAAGGGTTCAACGGTCTTGGGGTGGAATGGTTATAGGTACGTCGCTTATGATTCCGATACCGGTTGCTGACGTGTCGTTTCATCTGGTAGATCTGGACGAGGGTGGATCTACCATCGGCTCACATGAAACGAGAAAGGTAAAAGTTGGGTGGTCTTTTGCTTTTGGCGAAAAGGAGAGAGGGTCCGAAGCCCGAGAAACTGCTTGAACCAGTCTCGTGTCTCCTCCATCGCAAAGGCCGAGGTCATTGGGTGTGCCCAGATAGGAGTGACATGTAAAGAACTCGCATCCGCGACATTGCGTCCACCAATTCCAGTGAAGAAAGCAAGCGAGATCTGCGATTGGATCTTTTACTGCAGGCTCCGTCATTCGCCGCGGTGTCGGACATGCATTGTAGTTGCAGTTATCAACTTCCAACTACATTTGCTTGTGCTTGTGCTTATTCGAACTTTCGAAAGCTCCAGTCAACGCCGATCTGATCGACTTCCTTCGATTGGGGAGCAGGAGACCGTTGAAGAAGAGAGGGAGGTGGAGTTTGGGATCTTACGACGCTCCTGATCCACATGTTTTGTGTACAACCAGGTTTGATTTCTAATAATTATGGGTCTTGTCGGATTCAAGGTTCGCGGAGTCACTTCACTAATTGGGTAATACTTTGAGAAAGCCCACGGACCTTTATCCGGTATCATCCTTGTGGAAAGCGAACCTTGAGTCACTGCGAGAATTCACGATGCCACGGTTCGGAAGGGTGGCTCAGCCACTAGCAAGACTGAACATTGCAGGATTGTTCGAATGAGCTTATTTATTGATGCGTTAGCTTGGACGAATTAGTACATGCACATGTTGAGGTCGCTTTACAACTCACAATTCACTTCTCTTCAACTACCCTGATGATAGACGCTTAACTTATATTCAATATCCGCCTTCATTGTACAGATTTATCATATCTATGGTTTGCTACTGATACTCAAAATGTTCGTTTGTATTTACACTGTACACTTGTTGAATACAAAGCATCGACGTGCAACTCTACGTTGTGCCAACTTAGAGTACATCGTCACCCAATTTCCTCGGCAACAAACTTGCTTGTAATCCTCGAAAAACACCAACTGGTTCTGATTCAACCTAGGTTCCCTCCAATACAGATTGTTACTAATCCACTAATTATCACAATACGTGAAGGATGTCAGTCACTCTACGTCGAGGTTGCAGAAATTATAGTAGCTGTGCTTATGCAGCTGAAGCTACAAGTCTGTCCTTTAGAATGTCCCTTCTTGAGATCTCCTTTGTGGCAGCCGCTTGCACTGGAGTAGGAGCGATAGTGGTCACTGAGTCTGGTACAGTACACCGATCGTTCACTGGTCTTCTCGGCCCTTGCATCGATGGCCCCATTGCTGCTGCCCCAGTAGCCTGCATCCCAAACTTCCCGTGTGATTAACTTTGATACCAGACAGCCTTGTTTGCGTAATGTACCAAAACCTCCACATTATCGATTTCGAAGAATAAACAAACAAATGACTTGATGGTGAAACGACGAATACATGAAAGAAATCTTTTTTAACATTGCATTGCTAATTTAGAACCCACTTCAACTAGCCAACTTCCTCTATTATGAAGTAGAACTACACAAGTGCAAGTAATGACGATATAGAAGGATTAAGTGGAAGGCAAAGCGTTGGTGAATACAAAATCAAATGGAGTTATGTAACTTATATAATCGATACAACTCAAGTGAAGAATACATCACTAATCACGCGAGCTATGCTTTTGTAGTAATGAAGGAAATTTTTACCAAAAAAAGAAAATAATCACCTGCAAAGTCCCTTCAATCCAGAAATTTGGGAGTAGTCTCCTTGCTTTTGCAGTCGCATCCATTACCTTTAGTTTGAGGACGCCTACTAGTGAAAAAGAACATTGAACATCAATTAAATACCACCAATGCAACATGATCGTCATCATAATTTTCAGAATAACGTTATTCAACTATCCAAAATTCTTTCCACAAGACAAAAAGGGGAACTGTTCTCAAAATCTATTCCTTCTAATGAAACTCCAAATTACATGCCGAATGACAACCAGCAAGGTACATAAACTATGACATGAAAATTGTGTCAAAAGATGGTCTACCTCTATTTGAGTTTCCCGTTGCGAGCGAAAGCAACGCTAGTCGTGCGGTTATTCCAAATGCAGCAGCAGCAGCAGCAACAGCAGTATCAACAGCCACCGCAGCTATAGCAGCCACTTCCTCATTCGTTGGAGCTGCGTTGACAGCACAATCACCTCGTACGAGTACTCTCCCAAGTAGACACGTAGAGAATCTACTGGAAACCACAGGATTGACAGGAAGTCTATACAAAACACCCTAGAAAATCCTCGAAAAATCACTTACACCGAACAGCTTCAAAATTAACCACAATAAACCCTGAAACTCCTCGAAGAAAGCGCCACTCCACTTTCCAGTCACACGAAACGAACGGTCGAAGCGCTTCAGTGCTGACAAAGACCCAACACCCACAGACCCCTCCGAAAGAACCGACAAAGTTCACTGTCGTCCCGATAGCTCCAAAAGCCAAATACGCTATTCCAACAATTCGAGAGAGGAAATACAATCAAGATCCGGCACACAAGGTAAAGGATCAGACTGACGAACCCAGCTGTAAACTGAAGTCCGGGAGGTGATTAAGCATGAATCGTGGGGTCGAGCAACTAGATCGTGGGGCGGGGGATTGTGTGAGGTTGGTTTGAAGTGAAACTGTGGCAACGAGGAGGAGGAGGAGGAAATGGTGCGGCGTTACTTTGCTGGATTTGGTGCTTGGGGAGGGAGAAAGAGGGGGACCTGGCTATTGCGACACATGGGCGACGCCGGCGCCAGCACGCGGCCAGCCATCGCTGCACCGACCTCCTCTCTCTCGCTACCAAAGCGGGGGGGGGGGGACAACAATTCGGGAAAAAAATATAAAAAATCAAAAAAGTAAAAGGGACTCTCGCTTTGCTTTCTGGACGTCGCTTTACTTTTCGGGAAGCTTTTAAAAAAATTTAAGTCATTTTTTGAAAATTATGCACAATACATAATATGTAATAGAAAATTTAATGTATGTTGTATTTTTTTAATTAATTTTTTTAATGACAGAAGTACAATAAACGCATATTTGAAAATTCTAGTAAAACACTAATTTAAGAATAAAAAAAAACAACAACTTGTACATTAATGTGTATATGTATGTATGTATGTATTCATAAATAATATTTTTATTTTAAATTTAAACTAAAAATTAATTGGTAGTTTATTTGATTAATCATTTCATTAAATCTTTGCACTTTGTTGTGGTTAAGGTATTGTATATTGGCTAAAAATATATATATTGTTTTAAACTTAATTGAATTGTTGAAAGATACTGCTATATGTAAAGAATCATTTTGTAGATTGGAAGCTGAAGAAAGAAAAGATTGTCACAAATAATAACAGTGTAATTGGTAGCAAGACATGCACTATCGGGAAAATGTTTATATTGCATAGTATTTTTTGATAAGATAACATTAAAATAATAATAATAATAATAATAATCTTTTTATAGAAAGGTATATATGGTTTCAATTCTTAAAACTTAAAGTAAACATATTCTTATTCGTTTTATTCTCATTTAATTTTTTAAACTTCACGTGGCCACTTTTTGGCATGAAGATTTAGAAGATTGATTACCTTATTTTCAAAGTGCGCATTATAGATTACCAATCATTCAATGATTAAATACAAAACGACCATATACATCTCATGAAAACACCAAACTTCCTTTAAATAAATGCATATATATAGATATATAGATATATATATATATATATATATATATATATATATTCATTTGCTTAAAATTCATAAAAAAAAAGCAAACAAAAAAACATATTAAAAAAATAAATTAAATTAAAAATAAAAACTTTCACAACATGCACAATCTGAATCGTTTTTTTTGTTTTTGTTTTTTTTTTTTTGTTATTATTTTTTTTTGTAAGAAATAATATCTAAAAATTTATTTTGTGCATGTATTATGAGTGATACCATTTAAATATATATATATATATATATATATATATATATATATATATATTTAAGTAATTCTATGGAAAATTCTTTAATGTTTGCAACAAATTAAGCCTAAATATTAATTTGGTAGTATGCTTCACTATGTCTCAGATAAAAACAAAATCATCAAATTTCTGCATGCAGAATTCAGATTGCAATATTTGACTTCATGTGTTGAGTGCATTTTATTTATTTTTAACTTTAAAGGTTTTAAATGGCCAATCCATGATCCAATTCATCAATCTATATATTAATAGACGCCATCTTCCATTTACAGTTGGAATGTGTCAAAAATATGAATCTATCTAGAGATGATGGCTCCAACTTTCATTCTACTTCAATTTGCTATTCTCACTAAGATGGAGTGGGATATTATTTCAAAAATAGAAATTTATCCTGGTAACAATATTGGGTGCATTCTACACTCTATTCCATTTCACTAACAAAAACTTGTATGTGATCCACTAAAACAAGTGTTTGAAATTAATTTTGTTTTTGGTTTTCTTATTTGGAAATTTATGAATCATTACAAAAACAACCAAAACCAATATTAACTCGTTTACACATCAACAATTGATTAATTAATAATAATTATTTTTGCAAAAATTAAAATATTACTATCAAAATAATATAAATATATAAAAAATAAGATTTATTCTCTTACAATTCTCCTAGCAAGTTAAATTCTTTGGTGAATGGATTTGTAGCCATATATCGGTGGTCTCGGAATTCTTTTATTATTTTTCCACCTATTCATTCACTCCTATCAACACCTCCTTATTGGATGCCATGAAGTTCCCATCGGTTCCCGTGAGACCACCCGCTCCCACCAGTGCCCAGCCATTCCCATAAGTTCCCACCAGACACTTGGGAATGCAGTGTGAACAGGGGCAGAGAGGTCAGACAGACGACGGAGGAAGGCTTTGCGCCGCGGCGAAATTGAAGCAAATCTGCACCAGTCTGGTTGCATTTCGTAGCTCTGAGCCGAATTTTTGTGTTTCGGCACACTTCGCGACCTCGGACCAGTGGTGGGTTTTCCTGGAAAAAGCCTGTAAATCTCCAATTTTCATTTTCTATTGTTGGGTGTACTTCTGATCGCCGCAGCTCATGCATGGAAATCACTGAGAGCTGCATCTGTAGAGGAGGAAGAAAACGCAGAAGCCATCGTTCGACAGCTCACCGTGTTTCTCAGCTGTCTAGATGTTTCAACGAGTTGAACTTAGATTTTAATGTGGATCAGAGTTCACCCTCATCGTATGTTGAATTCTCTGGGTTGATGGTTTTGTGTGTCGAGATTAATGTGGAATAATTTGATCTGCTTGGTTTAGTTTGTGGCGAGAGCGATGGTTCGTGCTGGAGTGCACTTGAGGGATTGATTTTCACCCTTTTAAGACGAGATACTCTTATGAAATTCTTTGCGTGAATTGGCTATTTGTGGAGAATGGACAACTTTGGTTACAATACTGCTAGTGCGAATAATAAAAGGAGTGGCTTCTGTGCCAATTCGACTAACTTTCTAGACTCCTGACGTGAAATTAGAACTTATAGTCCTTTGCCGTGCCATCTAGACTGTGTAGTCGGGAATTCACTGAGTGCAATGTAATGTCGCCCTCATGCCAGGGTCTAGGGTTTCGGGGGTTTTTGTCATTGCTTAATCGAGGGAAGGAGAGATGTAGCTTATGTACGTTTGCACCCTTCTGCGTTCCTTGAACTGCTTGTCAGGAGATTGGAGGCACAAATCATTTTCTGATATGTGCAGCTCAATAGACTCACGAGTGTCATGATCTGTTGTTGTTTTTTTTCTATTATTTATACTTATGTGAAAACTCATCAGAGCTTGTAGATACCAAATCATGGCGCTCCGTAGGTGTCTACAATCAAGCTTGCGGACTAGCGTCCGTTCGTTGCATCTTCTGGAAGCTCCATTGTACGCCAGTGCATACAGTAGACCTTATGACAGAGCAGGAGTAATTGATTCTTGCAACATTCGAAAGGGGCTGGAATGGAAATCCAATCGATTTGCAAGTTCAGATGCGACAAGCAGTATGAAGGACCAGGAAAAGTTAGTGTTGTATCGTGCCAAATGGATGCGGCCTCTGCGGGTCATGGTCAGGTGATATCCCTTCCTCTCTTCGTGTCAAAACCCCAATAGCTTTTCTTGTACCCAGTTTAGTAAGATGTCTCTCCCTTTTGAAATTGGCTTATGAAGGCGTGAACATGTTGAATGTTGCTTCAATTTGAATTGTTCACGGTAATGCAGGCTTAAGATTTTTCAGCTTGGAGGTTTGGCGGCGCTCGCTTTGCCACTAGCTGAATATGCAAATGAGGTATGCAGACACCATACTTGGACTCGTGAATATTCTTGAGCAAAGAATACTGATTTGTGATTTTATTCGAAGTCTCTCATAATAATACACAGTCGACATTTATACAGTCTGAGTAGACTGCATTGTTTTGACTACTGTGCAAGGACATATTTTAGGGACATCTTTCTGTGGGAACAATTGCAGCTGTAACCGCTGTGGTTGGGGGAGCCGGTGCTGCTTCAGCTTCACTTTGGTATTATTCTCGCAGGTATGATCGTATCTGTTTTCGAATTTCATTACGTTTTAGTGATCATCTTTGGATGATACAACTTTATGTTGACAGTTGCTGCTAGAGTGTTTTCAATATTTCGTTGTGTTCATTTTCTGTGTTTCTCTTCATATTTATTGGTAACTCGTGCGTCGGGTATACATTGTAATGTTTGTTTGATTTGTGCATCTGGTGAGGTAGGTATGTAGGGGAAATGGCGCTTGTGGGGCCAAAACTTAGACACGTTATGCTCAGCGTTATTGATTTTTGGGGTAACCGTGAGGTACTGCTTACATATTCTTTCAAAAACATTCTGTTCTTCGAGTAACATCTCATCAATCGTATTTGACGTTGTTGGTAATTGCAAACTGCGTAAATGTAGAATAATTGTTAAAATAATGAGTGGTTTTCTTAGAAACTTATTGTATTTCATCTCGTCGTTGCCAGGATAACAAGTTTGAGCTCAAGTACGTGTGCATATTACCATGCCTCATTGTTTCTTCATAAGTTAATACGGATGACACATACGCCACCATCTTTCTTGTGAATTATTTGTATGCCATATTAATCTGCCTTAATAGTATTCGAGCGGAGTTATTTCAATTGAAGAGCTTTGTTGGACTAGATACCTTTCCATATACGTCATATTATTATTTAGGTTGTGGACCTCGCACTCATTCTTGAAGCTGTTAGCTTCTAAGATTCTTGGAGGAGTTCAGTGTTTTTGACACTTTCAGCTAGTGATACAGAGCTATAGTTCCACCTTTGAAGGGATTGTCAAACTCAGAGCTTGAGACGATGGCAAATCAAGTGCTTATTCCTCTGGATGGTAAGACTTCTCTGAGGCTGCTTTTATTAAACCTGATTGTAAAAATATGTATAGGACGTTTTTCTGGACGTGTTTGTTTCCAAGCTGAGTGTTGTATGATGTTTTTCACTTAGTTAGGCCCCTCTACTTGTTACTTTTCAATAACCATTAACAAGCAACCTGGCGGATTATCCTAGTTTTTTTTTGCCTGATATTGAAAATGTCGGAGCACAACCTTTCATTTCCTCAACAGTGGAACGTAGTTTTTTCATATTATGGTCTCTTTACCGATGACAAGGTCTTCTCATGTAGGAGTGCGCTGTCGATTTCTTGTCAAGGAATTAATTGGTTTGTGGGCTTTGCAGTGGTTGGAGAGAGGCAGTTTTTTCTGAGCCTCAGGTACGGGCGTTTAATTAAGAAGGACTTATTGTTTGCACTTCTTCACGGCAACCTGGACTTTGAGGATCTTCAGGGTCCATTGGGCAACGAGCAGGTTCTAGAAAAGAATGATAGCATTCATCAGCCATCGGCGGGCGTCAGCAAGGGTGAAGATTCATGTGTGCAACAGAAAGTTTGACACATATTTTATATTTTGTCCAATATCTGAGTAATGATTTATGTTACTGTTTTTTGCAACCTCATCCAGTAAGTGCTTTTCAGTTCTTGACAGCAGTGGCTGCTTTTATGTGTTTCCAGCCAGTGGTCATTTCATTGCTAAATACTAATGAGTTTTCTCACATCTAGACTTAAATAAATTTTACAATGACTGACCTTATATCTTAATTTCTTAAAGAACATGGTTGAATGTTGTCTCTCCTCTTTAATCAATCAAAATTTTAAAAAATATTTAATAATAATTTGGAGGTTGAGTATTCAATTTAATCCAATTATTCAATCATACATTAAAGAGCAAAATCAATCTAAGTTCTTAACAAACTACAACTATTATATAAATTCGAACCATCAGTAGTCAACAATAAAAGAAAAGACTAGCTAACACCACCACAATTTGCTACCACTACAACTTATTCAAAAATTAATTGAATATAAAAATGATAATTTAATTTACATATTAATAATAATTAAGCATGATTATGCAAATTTTATGGACTTTTTTTGATATTATATTCTAATCTAAAATACAAATATATATATAAATGTAAATATATATATATATATTAAATAGACCTAAGATTTTATTAAATTAAGCCGTCTATCCTCACTATTATGAAAAAAATAACTTCTAGATTCTTTTTTTTAATATTAGATTCAAAACCAATGAAAATCAACGACATTCATCATGATTACCATATTCTTTATCATAGTTACAATCATGGTTGCCTCTCATTTTCCTTCCCTTCATCAAGGAATCATACTTTTTCTATTTAAGATGTAGCAAGAGACATACCTCAAATCAATCTCTTTGCCATGCCTTCCATCTCCCTCTTGCATTCTATTCTATTTTTCCTATTGGTTTATTGCACTTGTAGATATTTCCAAAGTAATTGCAAGAAAGTCATATGGATGCATGTTGAGAGATGTGTGAAGATGGATAGACATATGGTTGATATTGTTAGGTAGGTGAAAGTGAGAGCTTGTAGAAGTGAAGGTAGAAAAATAACATTATGATACATAGCTAATTTGTACAAAAAAAAGACTTTAGAAAAAAATGAAAAAGAATTGTAATACATGGTGTAGATGTATTTGCCAAACATCATGAGAAGATAGATAGAGTAATATTATGTAGAAGTTTTCTAGTCTTAGGATTTCTACTTTTTATTTTTAAAAAATGACAACATTAATCTATATATTAAATCAAAGTTTGATCAACATTGATCTATACAATAAATTGAAGTTTTTTCATTTTACATTATTTGAAAAATATTCCCTCTCAAATAATTTGTTAATTAATTGTAAGTTTTGCATAGTTTTGGTGACTATGTTTTTAATTTGAGGAGTCTTTTTAAATAGACATTTTGTTATTTTAAGTAGCTAAAAATTTAAAAGTAGTGGTATCTTTCCTATTTAGATTCAATAATTTGATATACCTAGAGTTGTTCATGTGTTGTATTAATTATCTAGGCAATTGCTTGTGTATCAATATAAGGAAAGTGAATGCCAATCATGTTGGTTGCTACTTATGTATCTCAATTTGAGTCAATAATGATGACTCTTTCAAAGCATATTGTCAAATTTTCATAGGCTTTTGAAAAAGACAATTGAAAGAGGAGGGTGAACTTACAAGTATGTGCTTACTAAATTAAGGATCTTCAACCATACATATTAAAGGTTGTTAAAGAGGTAAACAACATCTTTTTAGCAATAAACCACATACCATCTTATAGAAAATACCACTAATTTAAGTTGTCTCAAATACAACTTCTTCTATCAAACTACTTTTCTTCTTTGAGCAAAGCATAAATCATTAAGCTTAAAAGTGTTTAAAAGTTGATCAATTCTTTTATTCTTTAGTGATTGATAAGAAAATATTAGAAGATGGTAACAACAAAGATGTACTTTTCTATTATTTTTATAAATTTAAATTATCATAATGCTTATTATTTTAATTATAATTATTTAATTTTTTTAATTAGATATATTTATATATATTTATAATTATTTTATTTTTTCCTTGTATTATCTATCGATTTACTTAAATCTTTAAAAATAGTAATATTCAATTCTTTTGGTATATAATACCTTTCTATTGAAGGACTTGTTGCTTTCAACAAGGCTACTATAAAGTTACTATTGAGAGTTGAGAATACAACTATTAAAGAGAACCAAATAAATATCTTTAGTTGTAATGATGTGATTTGAAAATTCTTAATATTATAGTTCATTCATAAATATTGTTGCAATAGATGTGTGATTTGAGTCATTTCATTAAATTTTGCTTAAGAAAAAATGCCATGTCACAAAATAAGTTATCATCTACTATGTTGCCTAGATATAATTCTATCAATTATGCATATATATATATATGTAATACTTCTAAAATGGCTAGCAATTTATATTGATTTCTAGATTGCCATTGTCCAAGGCCATTCTAATAGGGATTCTCAAGTAAGTTGTAATCTACTTCATAGGTTAGATATGATTCTATTAATTATGAATCTTACATGTAATACCAATAAATTAGCTTGCAATTTGTATTGATCTCTAGGTTGCCACAGTCTAAGGCCTTTTTAATACAAGTTTTAGTAGTATTCTTTAGTTTAATTAGTTGCAACAAGTTTTTATCAAGTTTCATTGAGTCTCATGAGAAATATAAGTGATTTATTAGTGTTCAAGAATTCATTTGTTGTTTGATGGTACACTTAATTTTTTCTAATAAAAGCTTGAATAATGAGCTTGAATAATAATTTTTCTTATAAAAGCTTAAAGAAGAAGTTTGTAGCCCATGGTATAGAGGTTTTTGTAGCACAATCCTACAATAAAAATCTTAAATTTTAATCTAAGCATATAAATGCTATGAATGCAATTATATCTTTTGCAAATGTGGCTGCTAGATATGTTGTGCTAATAAATCTAAAATTCATATATGAACTTTGCCTTCGTCAATAAAACTTAATGTTGTGTTGTACAAAGTCTCTAATTACAAAATTAGATGATAGATTATTATATGTATTAAGATTAAGAGCTAGTTGAAGAAGATTGCAAGGTGAATATATTCAAACTCAATCATTTACAGTAATTATATTGTTGCCAATGTTGTTGGCAAGTTAATTATGTTTAAAGAATAGCAATCCAAGATGAAGATAATAGCTAATTATATTAAAAGAGTGAATTAATGATTATATGATAAACTTTCTATCAATGACATGATTAGCAAAGATTAATCTTTTATTTTGAAGCAAATTAGAATATTAAGAGTAGTAACATCATGATATTAGTTGTATACGACATTTAAGTGGACATGTCTTGAGAGAAGTTTCTACTCTTAATTTATTTTTTTATATTATTATCTATTATCAAAATCAAAATTTCTTGGCTCATTAGTACTACAAAATGAAATAGTATTGAAATTAGATTGATAGATAATGTATATTAAAATCTAATTATATATAAATTAATTTTTATAGAATATAATTATAAAGCTGATTGTCTTTGAAATTTATTTTTAGATATTTGAAAAAAATATGTAACTCAACTAGAATAGGCACATATATTATGTCTTGGGCCTTGGTAATTTTTGTAAAGATGTACATTTATTATTACTTTAACAATTTTAAACTGTAAAGAAGAATATTGCATAGGTACTTTTACATGTGCACCAAATTGTTTCAAATGGTTCAATGTTCTATATGGCCTATATGTTTGATAGCTAACCATTTGATTTTCTAATCTCATAATTGTTGACACAAGCTCCAACAATTATTTCCAAATCTTCTTTTATTGGTGAGGTGGTAGTAGTGCAAATATACAATTGATAGCATCAAAGAAATGATTAAGATCTTTAGAAAAAAACAAACTAATTTTGTGGCAATAATATAGCCTTCAAATAAAAATTATTCACTAAATCTTAGCAAGGAAGAAAATCATCAACTTTCAAAATGTAACTATTGCATAATATATTATGGATCTAATATTTACATAAGAGCTTTAATGTCTTTGTTAATGTGCATATATAGAGAAAATTGTTAATATTTAGTATAGCTTTTGAAAATTTGAATTGCTTAAATATAAGATTCAAAGAATATATAGACATAGATTTTATAACATTTGTGAAAAAACCAATGTTATATTAATGACATACCCAAGTTTGTTCTAAACCTTCTTGTACTTTGATTTTTCTTGTTGTATTTTTAAAAAAATGAAAGAAAAGAATTTATACTTATTAAAGATCTTTAGTAGATATTTTTATACACAACTTCAATGTTAAATTTTGTTCCTTGACTTGCAATGTAGTTACTCTTTTAAGGTAAAGAAAGGTATTTGTCTAAGCTTTAATAAAATATATCTTGTGTAGTATATCAGTATTTTGTAAATATTCAATAGTAAAATAAAAAACTATGAAAATATACTTGGTATAAAAGTTTGATTGTTTCATATTATGTTTAATTGTTATAATATTTATGTAAATATTAAATTAAAAATTATATTGTCAAAGTGCAATGTGTCACAATAAATATCAATGGCATTATAATTAGATTAATTATAGGCACTTATTTAATCAAAGATATTTTATCAATGATGGTTTATAAAAGATGTTTTATCAATGCCTTATGTAATTTTTATTGTAGCATTGCTTATAATAGTAGCAATACTCAATGGGATTGAATGCAATCCAAATATGCCTTACAATGCATCATCCAATACTTAAATTTTTACTCTGGGTTGCTATAGGACTATCAAGGTTGTACATTGTAGCATTGAGGCGTATAAAATCTAGAAGGAGAAAAAAATTGTAATACAAAAAACATGCTTTTTGAACCCCAATAAAGACAATAACAAGAGTGTATATTACAAATGGGTTGTAATTTTCCAATATAAACCTTAGATCAGTGAATTATATAATAAATTAATAAGCAATGTATTGACTTTTAATTTCACTAGATTAAATGATGTTCACCACTTGTTCTTTGTTTTAGACTATAGAGCTTCTACAACTAAATCATGTTCTTATATCCAAGAGAGATGTAAAAGCTATTTAATGCTTTATTAGATCTAGAAGAAACAAAAAAATAAGAATGAAAGCATAAAAGCAAGTATGTACTTGAGTCTCTTTCACCAT